ATGATGCTGTTGTTTGGGAATTTTTTTGGTATTTTTGGGGATTTTTTGGGGCGTGTTACGTTGCTTTTTTGGAGTTTTTTTGGCATTCCCGGGAGTTTTCAGATTTTTGGGAATTTTTTTGGGATTCCTGGGAGTTTTGGCACTTTTGGGGAATTTTTTTGGCATTTTTGGGGATTTTTTTTTGGCATTTTTGGGAATTTTTTTGGAATTTTTCAGCATTCCCACGAGTTTTGGCATTTTTTGGATTTCTTTTGGCATTTTTCGGAAGTTTTTTGGCATTTTTTGGGATGTTTTGGGGGCACAAGATGCCGTTTTTTGGGAATTTTTTTGGCATTTTTGGGGATTTCTTTGGGGCGTATGATGCTGGGATTTGGGATTTTTTTTTTTTTGGCATTCCTGGGAGTTTTGGGATTTTTTGGGGAATTTTTTTGGGATTTCCAGGAGTTTTGGCATTCTTAGGAATGATGGCATTTTTGGGAATTTTTTTGGCGTTCCCAGGAGTTTTGTGATTTTTTGGGGGGAATTTTTTGGTATTCCCGGGAGTTTGGGGATTTTTTGGGATTTTTTTGGGGCGTTTTATGCTACTTTTCGGGGATTTTTTTGGCGTTTCCCAGGAGTTTTGGGATTTTTGGGGGGATTTTTTCGGCATTCCCGGGAGTTTTGGGATTTTTGGGGATTTTTTTGGGGTACATTATGCTTTTTTTGGGGAATCTTTTTGGCATTCCCAGGAGTTTTGGGATTTTTTGGGGCACGTGACGCTGGTTTTTGGGAATTTTTTCAGTGTTCCTGGAAGTTTTGGGATTTTGGGGGTTTTTTTGGGGCACATTATGCTGTTTTTTGGGAATTTTTTTCGTTATTCCCAGGAGTTTTGGTATTTTTTTGGGGCACATGATGCTCTTTTTTTTTTGGAATTTTTTTGGCATTCCCGGGAGTTCTGGGATTTTTTCGGGGAATTTTCTTGGCAGTCTCAGGAGTTTTGGGCTTTTTATGGGACACATGACGCTGTTTTTCGGGAATTCTTTTGGCAGCTCCGGGTGTTTTTTTTTGTTCTCACGCCCTTGAGGGTTTCCAGAATCTCCCAGGGGATTTTTGGGGATCTCTGGGATCATTTTTGGGGATCTGTGGGATAATTTTTTGGCTCCCCAAGGGATCTCTGGGATCATTTTTTGGCTCAAGGGATTTCTGGGATCATTTTTTGGCTCCTCTTGGGAATTCTGGGATCCCTGGGATCATTCTTTGACTTCCCAAGGGATTTTTTGGGATCTCTGGGATCATTTTCTGGGATCTCTGGGAGCATTTTTTGGCTCCCCAAGGGATCCCTGAGAGCATTTTTTTGGGATCTTTGGGTTCATTTTTTGGGATCTCTGGGATCATTTTTTTTGGATCTCTGGGATAAATTTTTTTGATCTTCGGGATTTTTGGGGGGATCTCTGGGATAATTTTGGGGACCTCTGGGATCATTTTTTGGGATCTCTGGGAGCATTTTTTGGCTCCCCAAGAGATTTTTGGGATAATTTTTTGGCTCCCCCTTGGAATTTTGGGATCATTTTTTGGGATCTCTGGGATCATTCTTTGGCTTCCCAAGGGATTTTCTGGGACCTCTGGGATCATTTTTTAGGACCTTTGAGAGCATTTTTTTGATTCCCAAGGGATTCTGGATCTCTGGGATCATTCTTTGACTTCTCAAGGGATCTTTGGGATCTTTTTTGGGATCTCTGGGATAATTTTTTTTGGGATCAATCTTTGACTTTCCAAGGATTTTTTGGGATCTCTGGGATCATTTTTGGGATCTCTGGGATCATTTTTTGGGATCTCTGGGATAATTTTTGGGGGATCTCTGGGATAATTTTTTTGGGATCGGTGGGATAATTTTGGGGGATTTCTGGGATCATTTTCTGGGATTTCTGGGATCATTTTGTGTCTCCCCCCCGGAATTCCAGCCCCCCCTCACTCACCGCTTCCCGGCGCCTCCTCTCCTGCTCCCTCTTCCGGGCCATTTCCCGCTGCTGGTCCAGCATGGATTGGGAGTTGGGGGGTTGGGAGCTCTGGGGGCCCTGCGGGGCCCCCCCCGACGCCGACACGGCCACGGAAACGGGAACCGGCACCGGAACCGGCACCGGCGGCTCCTGGCGCCGACGAACCTCCTCGTGCACCCGGCGAGCCTGTTCCAGGGCCTCCTCCTCATCCCGGCTCCTGGGAATAGGGATACAGGG